AAATATACTCGATAAAAGAATTAGGATCAACTTAATTTTAGTGTAAGTTGAAATTGAATTCTTTAACAACTCAAATTTAATTTACAACCTATGTTCACCCGAAATCAACCTACAGTAAGTGGATTCTGACATAAAACATATACATAGCAGATAAGAAAAAAACCTGGAATCTAACTGCTAACAATGGTATACAAATGAATCTTTTAACTCTATTGGTCCGCTGGTTGACCTATCAGTTGGCCCACCAGTTGATCTGCTAACCTCCGCCCGGTTGGTTATAATTTCACCCGGGAAACGACCCAACCGCGGTTGACCCGGTTGATATCCAACCGAGTCAGAACATTAGTTAGATCTGTATTTTTGCTCTGGAATTGGTGAATTATTAGTTTCGTTGTGTCATTTCGGCTTGAAATTAGAGATGCAAATCGGCTGATCCGCTCTATTGATAAATCGGTTTTTATTATACTGAATATACATGCCGATCGAGCCGTTTTGCAAATTTTATTGTGCATAATTGACTCAGAGATTATCGATAGCCTATTCATGACTAGGTCCTACATCATGGTTGATTCTGTTCAAATCCTAAAATTTAAATACATCTCAAATTTAGATTATTAATGTATATCCTAATTAATTAGGCATCTTAAATCTTAGGAATTGGCTGTAATGGTTTATAGATAATTTTTTGTGGTTGTTTGCTCCGGACGGTTTCCGTTTCCTAGTCTATATTGTAATCATGGGACTCGACCCAAAAAGACTGCCTTATTTAATTATTCTTTGATGAGAAATATTATAAATAAATCGATTAATAAATTTTCACATTGATAATGATAACGTTTTCAACATCATATACCATGACTGCTTTATCACTAAGTTGTATCTAACTATATACATTTACAAAATGGTTGTGATATGAGATGAATAAAATGCAATGATTTTGCAAAAAAGTTTATTTAAAAGCTTTTCGAAAATTATCAACTTTATTTTTAACACAAAGGCTCTGTGTCACAACGGCGAATTATAGCACTTTATTTATATCTTTCGTTATGCCAAAGGGGTGCAAGGGGCTTTAAATAACAATAACTACTTTTCTATTAATTTAAAAATATATTCTTGAATTTACACATTCGATTCTTCTTTACTTCAAATCTGAGCCTAATACTCTCGATATATTGCCACACGAAATTATTACTGAAATTGTTCTTCGCATTTATTTATCTTGGTTTATTATCCACTCGGCTGAAAAGCTCATGTTCCATAACTGAATGTCGACTTTGTGGTGACACGGTAAATTTAAGTCGTAAGTGATTTTTTTCTTCGGGATTGTCACTTTTAGCCCGTGACAGTGCATGTGTATGTATGTTTTCTTTATTAATTACTGCCCCAAGTCCAGCTTTATGTCTTGTTCTCCATATTTTTATAATTTAAAAAAGTTTTTTTTTAATGAAATTGATAGAGTATTTCTTTAAAAACATATTTTACTTAGAAAGTATATTGCTAAAGAAAAATAGATATATATATAATAAGATGTTGGTTTAAGATAAAAAAATATCAATATAGAAGTTAAAAAAAATGTAGACATATAGTAGATAGATGAGAAGTTTGTGTTATATGCCAAAAAGGCAATAAAACATCCAACTGATATTATTATTCCTTATAAAGATTTGACTAGTCAAAAAATTCAATATACGAATAATTATTAGCGAGATTATCCTTTATTCTTTATTTATCATACAGTATTTTGAAAATTAAAGCAATTTTATTTATTTTTTAGTCATCACGACCTTTATTGGAGATGCGACGTGGCCTTTAGCTCATATAGTTAATAAAACAATAACAGATATAATACTCGTACAAATCTATGTTCATAAGGGTGTTTTATAATGTCCAACTTCGTGACTGCAAAATTCTTCAACGCTATTTTCTGATACACGATTCATTTATTTGCGTGAACTCTTGGCATATTAAGATGGACTGATTAAATTGTGCATTTTAAATTTAACGGTAGAAACACGAAAATTACAAGAACGGTGCTAACAAAAATGTAGGGATGGTAATCTAGAAGTTTAAAGACTTTCAGTGGACCACTAAAGTACCGAAATGCCATCTCCAAAAGTTATAATACACACAAATCATAGTTTCATTTCTCTAACTGGAAATTAACAACAATGTAGAAATTGAAATTTAAATGATTATGTGCGAGAACCACATCAAAAGAATTTTCGATTAATGCGTAACATCAAAACTTTTATGGAATCTTTTTAAGTCCTCCATTTTAGATAGTCTGTGAATTTAGTTTTTATCAATACTTTAAACTGCTTTAAATTGTATAAATAACACATTTAAAAAATTTTCAACAGCGAATGTTAAAAATTGTTTTTATAGCAAATGGTATAACGCAACAAATTGTTTATTTCAAACTATCTCATATATTCCCTATTGAATAATTTCTTAAAAACATTTTTACAATTTTGTCTTTCAAATTTAATTTAGTTAAAAAAACGGCTAAGAAAAATTCATCCGTTAACAATAGTTCCTGCGAAAGGAAAAAAGTATTAAGTATCCATCAAACGTCAAATAATAAATAAATACGATAATGATTAAGTCTCACCTCCATTAGGATGGAGAACCTATGTATAAGAAAACGATCATGTTAATGTTAATTCTGGTTTATTTTATAAATTTTAAATGTATGTGCAGCTAATTTACCTGACCAGACATATAGGTAGAATCATTGCCAGCGAGAAAAACGTAACAAGGTGCTACTTCTGTAAGAGAGAGTGTTTTTTTTTTTTACACATCAAAACAAATTCACAAGAAAGCAATCAAACTTGTAAGATATTCTCATACCTGAAGGTTGGCCTGGTCGACAAAAAGGCGTCTCTTTTCCAAAGTCTTCTAGCATTTCAGGAGGAAAACTTGCTTTGACCAAAGGTGTCCAAATCGGTCCTATAGGTAACGCGTAGTGTATAGTTAATGTAATGAACGTGTTATTACAAAAGATATAGCATAAATAAACTGTGAAATACCTGGAGAAACGGCATTAACACGAATTCCTTTATCAATCAACTGAAGGCTAAGTGATCTATTATTGCCAGTAAAATGGTGTTAACGCAAGAGAAAATTGACATTACATGAAGAATCATACCTAGTGAAACCAACGATGGCCGCCTATAGATAACAGAAAATGTGAGATATATTAAAAATTACATTGTCAATAAGGTACCTTCGTCATGGAGTAATCAATCAACAAAGAATGGCCTTTATAGGCGGTAATTGAGGACGTATTGATGATGGAACTAATAATTGATTAGTGATACAAGGTTTATGGAAATGTAATTTTTTTTAACGGATCACCATGTACCTTCCTTTCTTCATGTGCTTAATTGCATGCTTAGTAAGAAAAACCATTCCAAAAATATTTGTCCTTTAAAGATTCAAAATATTTATTAGTAAAATCCAAATATGATACGTATGTGAATATCTATTAAAACTTACCTAAAAGTTTTCTCAAGTTGCTCTGCGCTAAGATCCTGAATATTTCCGCCCACATGTTGTTCCGAAGCGTTATTTACTAACACATCAATTCTGCCCCATTTTTTAACCACATGATCAATGATTTCAATTGTGTTTTCTTCACATCCAATATCCTTACAAATCAATTCCACCTGAGTGCTCGATTGTTTCTCAATCCTTTTTTTAGTTTCTTGTGCGTCTTTTTCTTCACGTGGCAAATGCACAATTGCTAGTCCTGCACAACCTTCGAGTGAGAATAAGGTCGCTATTGATCGACCAATTCCAGAATCACCTCCGGTAATAAGAGCAATTTTAGATTTTAATTTTCCAGCTGCTTGATATTCTACGAGATGTTCGTCGTCGGCAGGTAAATGATGGACAAGAGGTTGAGGTTTCATTTCATGTTGCACACCTTTTTGAAATTTTTTATATTTTATATTTTAGATGATATTTTTAACGCGTTCAAAAAATAACAATAAAAAAGCCGCTTAATCGAATGATATGATGTATGAACCAGGTTGCTCTTGCACTTCTTGCTTCGGAATATTCGAAATATCCGAAAGGCTTTTAGGTAACTCTTCCTTTGAACACATAGTGTATAAACTTATAAAAATACGTAAGTGGATATGTCTTCCTCTGGTTTTTTTTTACTGTATAAGGGAATTCTCATAACTGCCAAAATCATCTATGTAAATGTCTATTAAAATATTATTTTTACTTAGCATTGTAATTTACGATTGTAAACTAAATGAGAAGAAACTTTGAAAATGACATATAAATATAACGTATAGGAGTGCTGTTACACGTGGTCGAAACTATTTTCTGCTTATTCGAAACTAACTACGACATAAACCGTAATATAGTACCCTAGCCATGGCGAAAAAAAGTTACCGTCACGTGACTTTGGCCAGTCAGCGAAAATCAAAACAATCGAATAAGTATATAAATTAAAGTAATAAATCTTATCGTTAGAGCTTAGGATATAGCAGATTATGTACCAAAATTTAGCAAGGAATTTTTTTTGTTAGTACGCAGAAGGCGATTTAATAAGTTAAATTACGATTTTTCAAAAAGAACGCTACACCTGATCTTGTTATCTAATTGGCTAGATTCCGAAAATATCACGTGACAGTGGCTTTTTTTTCGCCATGGCTAGGGCACTAACCGTAATAGTTTTGAAATAAATTCGACTATATGTATCAATCGCAGGTAATTTTCCTGTAAGGATAATTATCAAACGAATACCGGGAACTGAGTGATAGGTGTCATAATTAATTAAAAATGTTTAGCATATTAAAAGGCATTAAGTAAAAAAATTTTTTTTAACTTCTTCAAGTATAGTTTCTAAAATTTTTACCAAGCATGCAAAAATTAAAATCTTTTGACGTATAACCTATATAATTGGGCAAAAATTTGAACATAAATTTAGCAGGAATTTCAAACATTAGTATATTCGCTTATCATAAAAAAATACAGTCAAACCTCTCTATAATCACACTCTTGGTTTTAAGAATTTGGTGCTTATAGAGAGT